ATACACAATAAGAATAAGGTGCTGTGAATACGCATTAGGGCATTAGACAAGAACTCTGGGGAAGCGAAATTTAAGATGAGAGGTGAAGGAGAATATAGGAGTTATAAAAAGTAGGTGGAAAAGAGCATTTTAGGCATATGCTAAACATCACGTGCAAAAACTGTGGGTATATTTGAGAAATCAGGAGTGGAGGGAGAGAGGGACTTGAAGGAAGCTTGGAGAAGTTGCAGGAGCTAAGTACACAGGGCTTTATGGCCATGAAAAGAAGTTTAGGTTTTATTCTAGGTGCAGTGGAAAGCCTTTGGGGGAATTTAAGCAAGGTAGTAACATAATAAGTAACTGAATTCCACTTTAAACATCACCCTGGTATATGCTATATAGTAAGTGAATTTATGAGAGGCAAGAATGAAGAGGGGAGAGAACCCTTAGAAACACATTGCAGTATTCTAGATGATGGAAAGTAATATCTTAAAACTAGAAGGTGGAAAAAACTAGGTGGCTTTGAGTGCTTTGCTTTGAACAGCAGAGGATTTGAGTGTTTTGCTTTAGGAAACAGCAGAGATTAGCAAGAGGGATAAAGACAAAGGAGGGGAAAAGATGACTTTAGAATATGTAGCCCAGGAAATAGCCAGGTAACAGTAAATCAGATCATGTCATTCCTCTGCTCAAAATGCATGGCTCCCATTTCACTCAGGGTAAAAGCCAAAGTCCTTATGATGGCCTCACCAGTCCTGCAGAATCTGGACCTGTTACCTCTCTGACTTCGTCAGTTATTTCTCCCCCTCACTCATTCCACTCCAGCTTTGTTGGCCACCTTCTTCTTCCTTGAACATGCCAAACACACCCTTGCCTTCGCACCACGAACTTTTCAAGTCTTTTCTCAATTGTCACCTCTTGAATGACGTCTTTCCTGACCACCTTATGTAAAATCACAACTGCTTCACCTCCACATTCTCAAACCCTCTTAACTCTACTCTTTTTATCTTATAACATACTGTGTAATTTACCCAGTTTTCGTGTTTATTGTCTACTTTCCTCTACGAGAATGTAAGTGTCATAGGGAAGATAATTTTAGTCTCTTTTGTTCTCTAGTGTATCCCAAGCACCATAGTTGGCACATAGAAAGC